TGCAAATCCTATAGAATTATCAGCAAGCACACATCTAGAATAAAATACAGCTTCTTGCAGCCCACGAAGCCCAAAGGGCTTTGCAAACTGGGCTTGGGATGCAATTTATCCATCAGTGAGATTCTGCTGTAATCCAGAGTGGAACACAACCTTTCTACCCATATTTAACTACAGCACACAGCCCCCGAGAGACAAGTAAGGAAGAATTCAACAAAAACCACAGGAACACTTTAGGGAGGTTGGAATTTTCTCCCCTGGAACTGAAATTTGGTCAGGGCACCCACCGGGGTGGTGCCTGCAGGTCCCTCCAACTCAGGATACTCCACGATTCTACGACTCAACCATCAGGCATGGACCAACCCAGGAGAACAAACAGGACACAGCATCTCCACCCCGTGATGGTGTCCCTGAGGCACAGCTGGAGGGAACAGCTGTGGACAGGTACCTCAAGTTACCAGCCTGGAGAGGAGGGAGAGATGAACCCCACAGAGGAACCCTGCATTGTCCTTCAATTCAGTGGGGCCCAAATTTCACCCCACAGTGACACCAATGTGCAAAGAAAGATGGAGTGGAAGAGTATTTCAGAAAAGGACCAACCTCTTAAAATTCCAACAGCTGAACCCAGCAGCTCAGTCCTTACAGAACTCAGGGTGGGTAGAGCTGGCCCTGTCTGGGCAGTGACATTTTCTTCAGTGAAATCTATTTCAGCTCAAGGAATTCCTCCTCCTTAAGCAAAATTGGCACTAAGGCAGAGCCCTGGTGGAACGAGGTATCCTGCAACCTCTCCCCTAGTGACACTAGTCAGGGATAAAAATGAGTGTCATTAATTTCTCCAGAGCAAGTAATTTTTAATTCTTTCAGAGCAGAGCAACCACACAAGGAACTGGGAATTGCTTGAGGAGAAAAACGTATTTTTACTACCTTAGTCACACACAGACAAGCCCAACTCTCACTGAGGAGAGACCTGTGGACAAACAAAGGGGAGCGGGACATGCTGGACACAAATTCCTCCCACACATATTCTGCTGCTCAGGGAGTTCTGGAATTGCCTCAGAGCCATCCCAGTCCCAGCGAGCACCAGCAAGAAGCCCCAGGTAAATAAAGTTCTTGAAAGCTCTTGAAAACCACCTGAGCTTTCAGAAACAGAGCACAAATCCCCCTGTACAGAGACCTGCCCATCACACCTCCGACCAGCACAAAGCAGGCTTTTCACTCTATCCATCCAATGCTTTCAAAAACCAGAGGAGCTGGGACTAAGTCTAGGTGAGCTCACCTTAATGAAGCCCAGTACTCATTACTAACTAAGAAAAAAGAGACCAACCAAAGCAACTCAACCCCACACACTTTAGGGGTAGCTACCAGCAATTCCATGTCACCACAGGAGAAATCCTCATGTCTGGGCTCTCAGAGCTCAGCCCAGGTCTGCTTCTGTTCATTCTTTTCATTAATGCCTGAACAACAGAGAAAGCACTTTTCTAAAACCTGAAAGGATGCCCAGCAGTTAAGAGCTGGAAGCACTCTGGAGGTCATGATCGGAATTGATAAACTGAAGGAAAGTTCCCAAAACACCCACAAATCAATAGAAAGAAAAGCCAGGAAAACAATGCAAAGAACTGCACTTGGAAACAGCACAAACAGAGATTGAGCACAAAGAGAGGCCAGGGGAAAGCTCTCCAGGTGGGGGGAATGCTGAGGAAAATCAGGGACGGGCCTAAATGTGCCAGTGCTGTGACTCCACAGCTCCAGCTGTGAGGAGCTAAACATCTCCGTGGTCTGGGAACATAAAATTCCCAGTTCTGGGCTCCATGCCAGGTATCACCTCTAAGTCACAGACAGACCAGAGAATCTGGGCAACTAGTGGAGCACTCAGCAGTGTAAAACACAGCACCCCATACCACCTGCAGAGGGGTTTCTCCATCCCGCTCCCTCCAGGGCTGGTACCAGCTCTCAGACTTTAACAGGGTCTACAAGAAGGACAACCATCCATTGGGCTCCCCATTCTGTGACAGCAAGAGCTGACCTGGCTGCTCAGTTCGCTGCAAGGGAGAGTTAGACAAGCAGTCAGGCTCTCTGAGACTGGGATTCCATCAGGGCCCAGAGGGAACTGGCCCCTGCCCAGATCTGCACCACCACCCAGCACTGCCCAGCCGGGAGCCAAGTATCTCTCACCTGGCTCAGGACATATGGACAAGGAGGCTGCTCCAGCCCTGCATTTCATTTTAGCATCCTCCATCTGGCCACTCCTACAGCAGTGACAGAGCCAAATGAACAGCCTCTTCTTCCCCAAAATACAACAGAGCTCCTCATCCCACTGCAGGGGCACCCACACACTACAGGCACCATAGAGCACCATAACCATTTCCATTCACACCTTCATTATCCTTCACAAACGAAGCTCTTCAGCTTCATTTCCCATGCAGGGGGATGGGATGCACCCCTGGAGAAGGGCTTCCCTCCTCCCCTCTCACCCCACACAGCCCCACCAACCTCTGGGACTGGCTGGAGCCTGTAAGGGTCATCACCCAGCCCTCCCTACCCCAGACAGGATAATTTGAGGGGCTCATTGCTGAAGGAATTGAAGTAATTGCAACAAGGTGTTCCAAAGCAGGTGAGAGCAGCTGATGCCATCAGCACACCGACAGCTTGGGAGAAATCCAGCAAGGGGGTAAGAGCTACAAATCCCATGCAAAAGCAGGGCTTAACTTCCAGGAACATTTAAGATTTCCCAATGACTCGAGGGGATTTGGAGTTTTTCTGAGCTGCCTTGTAAACCGCAGCCAGAATGGATTTGACAAAGCCCTGGTTAGCAGGCACTGTCTCCCTTCGCAGAGCTGCTTCCCAGAGATCCCCAGTGTTGTGTCATTTCTCACTGCAGGTGCTAAGAATATCTGGGTGTTAATAAAAAAATAGCAACTGGCTTTACAGAGAACTTATCAACAAAGCACTGAACAAATCTTAATTAGAGCTGATTCACCTCCCTCACGAGCGTGAGTTAAATGTTCTTTCTCAGAGGAGAACAAGTGAGGAGAGCTGAGGGGGGTTATAAAAGCCACGGAGGGAGTCAGTAGCAGAGAGGATTAGCACACAGAAAGGCTGACTGTTATCCCTAAATTTATCCCAATAATTCACTGCCTTGCAAATTCAAGGTATGGCTGATGTGCTTTCACCTACCCAGCCCAAGTAGGAGCACACAGAGAGAGCTCTGGGGGTGCTGGAAAGTTTTACAGGTGTTTTATTGCTCAGGCTAAAGAAATTCTCAACAGTAAGAACAGAGGTGGTGGTAGCACCAGCACTGCTCTTGTGCTGCTTTAGGGCATGAGGACAGCACTGCAGGTTCAAGGGCTGTTCTGACAACTCATGAGGAATTGTTTCCAGCTGATTTCTTTAAAAGGATCATATTTGTATCCCTTCAAAACTAGTAAATACGTGGTCACACAGCCAGGGATTCCAGCACTACTGTCACCTGCATTAGCTGCACTCCTACACTAAAGTTTCTGGGAGAATATTTTGGATACTTCCACCGTTTCTGTAAATGCCCTGGAGGCTGCTGAAAAACAACGTGATCCAGGCTGGTCATTTTAAGGCAGGGTTGAGGGAAAGAAAAGACAGAAAAATACAAGTCCATCCCTTAACAATGCTGCTCCCAGAGCACAAATGAATTTAAAGGCTCACACGGAGCAGGGACGCTGCGGCAGCACGTTCGGTAAATGACAGGGTGTGTCATCATCTTCTAACGTCCTCCAGAGACTTATCTGCACTTCAAAGGTTCCTGCCAGGGCTGTGCTCGGAGCAGGCTCTTCCACAGACACTCCACCCCGGCAATGCCTCTGCACGTTACCCTCCTTTGGCAGGCAAACCCAGCAGCGCCGGTGCAGGCAGCTCTGCCTCCGCCCCGCACTGGGACTGGCTCAGTTCTAGCAGCCAAACACTGCAGAGTAAATAACTTGCCCGTAAGAAATTGTATCTACAAAACTTGTTAGTGTAAACCCAGCCATGCTGAGAGGCGGCAGCGCCAGTGCTCTGTCAAAGATCACTCCTCGCCCAAGTGTTAGTCAACCACTGAAGTTAAACATTTTCAGGCAACACTCCAAACAGTGTTTATACACAAAATCCCATTTGCTCAGCATTCGCTCCCCGGCCTTGTGCAACGTGTAATTTTGCGAGTTCTCCAGCCAGAGAGCCATATGCAGGCTCGTACCAAAATAATTAAACAGTTTTAAAATTCAGGCCCTGAAGAAAAATCCATTTTAATGTCCTGGAGCTGCTCCAGCGGTACCAGCACGTTTCTATTCCACAGCTGCCTGGGAGGTCAGTGTGCTCCAGGCAGGACCCAAACTGCGCCTGTTTGGGGCAACTTACGTTTAGATACTTATGTTTGAAACGCCTCAGTGTAAGGGATCCCTGTCCTGCCCCAGAGCGTGGGTAAGTGCCACCACAGGGCCCGCACTGCAGCCCCAGCGGCTGCCTGCCCTGCCCCAGCCCCCGGGGCCGGATACTGCCGTCCCTCACGGCCCGCGCACGTCCGCTCGGAGCCGAAGCGGGGCAGCCCCGGCCCCCTCAAGGCCTCACCGCCGGCTCCGCTCGAACGAGGGCAGCGGCAGCGCAGGGGAGGCAGCGGCCCGTGCCCACAGGGGCCGTGCCGGGGCCGTGCCGGGGCCGTGTCCCGGGGCAGGGCCGCGGCCCCTCAGGACCCCGGCGGGACCTCCCACCCCGTCCCCCCCACTCACCGCTCCGCACTGCGCACGCTCCGCCCGGCCGGCCCGGCCCCGCCCCTTGACCACGCCCCGCCCCTTGACCACGCCCCGACCAATCAGCACTGCCCCTGCCCTCTCTCCTCCCATCGGCCCCGCCCCCCTCCCCTCCACGCCCAATCAGCTCCGTTCTTGACCCCGCCCGCCGGCCCCGCCCGCGCCCCGTGAGGCGGCGGCCGTGCCGCCCTGGGAGGGCCGGGGCCGGGCCGGGCCGGGCCGAGTCTTGTCCGGGCCATGTCCGAGCCGAGCCGTGTCCAGGCCGGGCCTAGTCCCGGGCCTAGCGTTGTCCGGCCAAGCCTTGTCCCGGGCCGGGTCAGGAGCCGCCCTAGCTGTGGGAAAGGCCTGTCCCGGGCAGCGGGCACCGGCCTCGCCGGGGTGTGCAGGCCTGGAGGAGCTCTCCCCTCAGGGAGGGACTGGCTGAGGGACCTTTCCGCGTCGGGTTAGGTTGGGCATCAGGAATTTCTCCCTGGAAAGGGTGTTCAGGCACTGGCAGGGGCTGCCCAGGGAGGTTTGGAGTCCCCATCCCTGGAGGTGTCCAAGGAAGGCCTGGCCGTGGCACTGAGTGCTCTGGGCTGGGGACAAGGTGGGGATGGGGCACAGGGTGGATCCATGGGCTGGGAGGGCTTTTCCAACCGCAGCGATTCCTTCGTTCGTGAAGCCTAGCCATGATTCCATGTTAGGGAAATTGTGTGGAATAAGCAGCTTTGCTGAACATGCGCTGCTGCCGTTCGGGCTGCTCTGGGACCCTCACCCGTGTGGTGGCACCGGGGCTTGATGGGCCCCAGCAGCCCCAGGAGCGGGGGGGAGACGGGAGGGCAGGGACAGCCCTGAGCCCCCGGCACGGGGGTGCAGCCGGGGAGGGGGGCTGGGCCAGGGGGGCTTCAGCTGCCCATGTTGGGGTGTCCTGAGATGCCCTGGCACCGGTGCTGGGAGAGAAGGGGGGGAAATTTGGGATGGGTGCTGGAGGACAGGAGGGGATATTTGAAATGTGTGCTGGGGGACAGGAGGGGATATTCACAAGGATCAGGAGATATTGTTGGACTCACACCTCACATATCTCTGCCACAGGCTGCTTCAGCACCTTTATTTTTCACGTGTTCCGAGGGAGGTCGTGAGGTTTCAGGTAGATACAAGGGTGTCAATTCACAGGCTTGGCACCCCTGGCCCGAGAATGAGGTGAGAAAGTCAGAAAAGGCACAGGGAATGCTGGGCTGCTGCAAGTGTGACCCCACAACTCCCTGTGCCTTGTTCACTTCCAGCACTGTGCTGATTAAAATCAGATGCCAAAGCACTTCCTGCCCCTCTTCCGGTGGTGACTGAATGATGGCATTGCAGAAATGATGGAAAATCCACAGCCAGGAGCTGTGCAACCCTCCCTGGCAAGAGCTGGGCTGTGGCTGAGGAGCAGCCCATGGGATTCACCACACAGCAGCCAAACCCACCCTGCCAACCCCAAAATTAAACTGCAATGCTTAATTATCCAGCTGAGGATGCTCAGGGACAGCAGGTGACAACTGAAGGGGTGGCACAGACCCCTGGGCTGGTGCCCCCGTGGCTCTGCTCACCTATGTGCTGTGCTTTGCTGCTGGCACCCACAGAGATGCTGGAGGCAGGAGATTGACTGTGAGCAAATCTCAGCTTCCCTTTCGAGTAATTGAATGCTTTCAGTCTTTCCAGGTTGGTTGTAAACACCTCAAAAACATAATCTGGAATCAAAGCCCACAAAGCCCATCAGGAGCTTTATTGAGGTTTCTGATTTTTGCTGGGGGTTGTGGTTTCTCAGGCAGCAGTGCTTTCTGGCTCCATGTAACTCCTGGCCTTTGCCTTGCCCTATTCCAGCCGCTTCCTTCTCCTTCCCCTGGGCTCCAGGCCCTCTGTGCTCCTGGAGCAGCATTGCCACAGCTCAGGACATGGCTCCATCCCTGCCCAAACCCTGCTGTCATCTCTCCAGTGGGGCAGGTGAGCTGGATCCAGCTCTGCCCCTTGTTTCTGCCAGCTGGAACAGCACTAATGGGATGATCCCCCATCTCTCTGAAGCCGTGTGATCCCCCTCTTTCAGGCACAGCAATCAAACCCCTCCACACAGCGAGCCCCAGGCTGGCAGCTGGGCAGGACTGGCCTCTGCTTTCAGCCCAGGAGTCAAATGTCAGCTGGAACACAGGGAAGAGGATTTTCTCCCTGGCTGTGGCAGGCCCAGGCGGTTTGGGAAGCCTTGCTGAGATACTGAGTCCATCCACAGAGCAGCAATGCTGCATCCTCAGACAATCCCAGCCTAATCCTGCGTCTGAAACTGCTCCCACATCCAGGAGACGAGGAAACACTCTCTGCATGTGTTATCTTGTGTATCTCAAGTTCTGTTTGATCTGATGGGGTGGAGGGTTTTTTTCAAAGGTATTGGAGAAGATGGGTGTGAGAGAGTAATTTAGGGCTGGGAGTAATTTTTCATCAATGTACTTAAAGACAATCACAGCACTAGGAGGGAGGCCTAATTGTGGAGTTGTGTAATTAGTTTTTATTTCACTGCAATTATTCTGTTGGCTACATATAAAGAACATGGCAAAATGCGGCACTTAATTTTAAATCAAGACTTGATTCTCTTTTAGTAGGTAATTGATGTTGATCACATCACTTAGCTGCGACTATAAAATGTGCTATTTAGATTGTAAAAGGCTGGAGAAAAGGACTAAGCAGATAGGTAATTGATGGATTGTGGGCAGCCTCGGTGGGAGGCAGCAGGAATCCATCAGCCTTCAGCTGCCTGTTTGCAGCCACTCCTGGGCTTCCTCAGTGGCCCTGGGGGTTAATGAGCACAGAGCCCTGATCCTGCAGCATCCTGGGGAACTGCACTTCATGGAGTTGATTCCTCATGGTAAACTCCTTCCTTCAAGGGCCAGCTTTGCTCAAAGTGGCTGGCCCCTAGTGCAGGGTGGGATTTGGGGATGGTCTCCCTGGCCAGAGCATCCTGCCCAGGTGTGCCAGGTGCTGCCCTGTGCCAGCAGGGACTGCCCAGCACTGCTGTGAGCTCAGAGCGTTCCCAAACACCAGGAACTGGCACCTCTGTCTTCCCTCATCACAGAATCACAGAATGTGCTGAGCTGGAAGGGACCCACAAGGATCATCCAGTCCAACCCCTGGCCCTGCACAGGCCCAGCCCCAAGAGTCACCCCCTGTGCCCCAGAGGATCAGCCAAACCCTCCTGGAGCTCTGGCAGCCTTGGGGCTGTGCCCACTGCCCTGGGGAGCCTGGGCAGTGCCCACCACCCTCTGGGGGAAGAACCTTTGGCTGAGATCCAACCTGAGCCTGCCCTGACACAGCTCCAGCCATTCCCTGGGGTTCTGTCCCTGGTCCCCCCAGAGCAGAGCTCAGTCCCTGCCCCTCCTCTGCCCCTGCCCAGGCAGTTGGAACTGCAGTGAGGTCTCCCCTCAGTCTCCTCTGCTCCAGCTGAACACACCAAGTGCCCTCAGTGTCCTCCCACGCCTTCAAATCAAGGCCCTTCCCCAATTTCATTGCCCTCCTTTGGACACTCTCTAATGGCTCAATCTCTTTCTTATATTGGGGTGCCCCAAACTGCCCCAACACTGCAGGTGAGGCTGCCCCAGGGCAGAGCAGAGCAGGACAATCCCCTCCCTGGGATGCCCAAGAGAAGCTGAGAGTGCAGAATTGGGTTATTCCCTGTGAAACAGCACTGATGGCTCCTCCAGCAACAGCTTCACAAGGTAACAATGAACAAGGCTGAGGGCTGGGAAAAGCTGGACCAGTCCTGGGGAGCAGTGGTGCAGCAGGGAGAGCTGAGGCCCCAGGGATGTACAGAACTTGTTCTTGCTCTGCACAAGCCCAGATCAGCAGCTTCACACTGCATTGGGATTCACTATCACAATAAAGCTGATAAAACTTCCCCTTGCCTTTCCAGCTGCCCTAATTACTTGATTTCAAGGATTACTGTTTTCCAGCTCCTATCCAGAGGCGAGACAGTGCCATTACTGTGAGGATGGTGCTGAGGGCCACAGGGTGACTCTTGGGCCAACACAAATTCAGATTTTCTTCAGGAAAAGGCCATGTGGGTTTGTGCCTGGGAGCGCTGCATGCTCAGCTGGAGCCACCTCCCCTCCTCAGGGCCGTTTGGCTTCTCCAGGAGCTCAGCCATGGCAACGTGTCCCAAATTTGGTCAGAAATGAATTTACCTGGCTTGTGCTGAACACCCCCAGACACATAATTGGACATTCAATTTAAGTCCAAAAGCAAAATAAAGCCACAAGGTGCCATCCCTGGGAAGCCTCACACCACTGCCCCTCACCAGGTAACTCTTAATTTTCTGTGATTTTTCTTTCATATTGAAGTACCTGCAAGTAGTTTTGGTTGGGGGAAGACCCGGAGGACAGCCGTGAGATGCTGTTCAACACAACAAGGCAGAGACGTCCAGAGGGTTCAATTGCCCTTTTCCCTCTGGGGGGCACCAGGACCAGCACGAGAGGTGTCATTCTAGTGGATAAGAAGCAAACTCCACAGGCTGCAGGAGACTCATTAGCTCACATTTGCAAGTGGCAGGTCCAGGCTTTATACCAAAATAGATGGATTTGTGGCCAGACAAGTCTAAACAGAGTCCTACCAGGATTGTTGCCTGAAAGATTTCCCCCCCCAGCCTTTCCTTCCTCTTTACTGCTTTAGTTGTGCTGTAGCAAAATATGAGATGAAATCTGGGCTCGAGTAGCTGTAATTGTTTAAGAGCCTGCAGCTCCAGTGCTGTGCATCCCCTCCCAGCCTGTCCCACTCTCACCAGCAGCCACTTTCCATGCTGACATGATGAAATGTGTCTTTACAGCCCAAGGAGTGGGTCATGACCCAGCCCAGCCCAGAGCAGAGTGCTTTTGCAGTGCATGTACACCCTGAGGGGACCCCAGGGCTTGCAGTGAGATGGGTTAGGGTATCACAGCTGCAGGGTCACCTCACTCACTGCTAAAATGCTTTTTCTCACCCATTTTGTGTGCTGGGACACGGGGCTATGGCAGGACCAGTTCTGCCACCTCAGCATCGGCCTCTCTGAATTGCCACGAGGATCGGGTGGGTCCCACTTGCAGCCTCTCATCACCAGCAGCACAAATCCTATTTCATTCACTGTCAAAAAAACCAACTCATCCCAGGCCTTTTGCCACTCATCCCTCAGAGACTCCAGAGTGGGAAGTGGGATGAGCCCAGGGGCCATCCCTGCCCTCGGAGGGGCTCTGCCAGAGAAGCACGAGGCTGCCCAGGTAGCAGTGGCACAGCTCAGGGTCAGGATCCCGGGGGGTGACAATCCCCGACAACTCTTCTCCCTCTGGATGTATCCACAGCTGCGGCTCTGCCTTGTTTTGAGGCCAGGTGACTCCAGCATTCCATCCCAGGGCAGTAACAACGCTGTTCCTCACAGCCAAGTGCTTTGCCACGTGCAGGTCCCCCCGGGCTGCCCTCCCTCGCTCCTGCTTGGTGTCAGGGTTGGATTAAATTAGGGAAGGAGGCACAGGGATCAATCCCAAGTTCTGCACAAATGAGTTAGAGGCAGGGAGGAGAATAAATCCCAGAGCAAGAGCAGAGGGACCCGGTGGGTACAGAGCTGGTGTAAGGGAACCTCAAGTTTTCAGTGCCACCAGCTCAGCTGGGACTGCGAGGGCAGCAATGTCCCCAGGGACCCTTTCTAAGAGTCACCTCAAGTGACCTGGGCAGGGCCTTTATGGGAACCTGAGCAGGGATTGGGGTAAAGTCACCAGCGTGGGGGGCTGAAGGGGGACTGTGCAGACAGACATGGGACAGCTCTGTCTCCTGCCTTCTCCCCAGGGAACAGGGGCCCTGGGCAGGACACAGCCCTGGTTATCCCTCAGCAGAGCCAGGATCCCTTGACAGTCCCCTCCCAGGGCTGAAGGTTTCAGATCCTTGGAAAGCCCCCATCCCTGCTGCTCCAGCTGCCTCCTCCAGGAGCCACACCCCGGCTGCCACCTCCTCTGCACTGTACTTGAAGCATCTCCACACCACAGCACACGTGGGCTCTGGAGCAAGGGCAGGGACAAGTCATAAAACACGTCCCATAAGGTGGAAACAAGGAGACCACCTTAGCGGTGTCGCACACTTAAAGGAGAGGGGATGGTTATGAGCCATTATTCCCTGCAAAAATGGGCTTTAAATCTCCATCCATCACCAATGCCCAGTGTTGGGTGTTCTGAAGGTGTGCAGAGCTTTGTGGCTCCTTTCCACCATGGCACAAGTGGCCATGGCACCTGTTACCTGGAGATACTTCTGGAGCCTCTCCATTTATCTGCTGATACCCTCCAAAATCTGGGAAGGAATCAGCCCATGAAACACCACCAAGACCAAAATTGCTGCTTTAGGGTCTCAGGTCCATCTCCCTGCAATGACCAGGCTGCAGTCTTTGGGAGAACAGTGGGCTCACAGGATGGCAGGGCTCCCAGCTGCCCATCCCTGCCAGCTGTGCAGCAGGGAAACGAGGATGTTATGGAGCAGCAGAGTAGTAATTGAAAGCCTTTTTGCTCCTGGAAGCC